GTGCATTATTCCCTGTGTGACTCACATTCTTCTGCTAATGGGCAGTACTGCCTTCCAGCAAGCTTTTCTGCTGACAGAGCACTTCCTTGGTTTGTGGAACTCTTCTCCTGGTGAGTTTTCCTGCTACTTTACTGTCTTTTCCTTCTAAGACTCCTCTTCTGATACCTAAATCTGCTGTCCCCACATTTTATTATTGTTATAGTTGATACAAGGCATCAACTTAAGGAGTCCAGAAGCTTAACTAAGTGACTCAGCAGTTCTACATCCTGGGGTGAAAAGGACATGCCCTTATCTCTCTAGGATGTTGTTTATTGTGTTAATTTGAGAAGTTTAAAAGTTCAACTAAGCTGGGCGTGGCAGCACATGCCTGTAATTGCAGCACTCTGGAGGCTGAGGCAGGAGGATCGTTGCAAGCTTGAGACCAGCCTGCACTACAAAGTAAGCTCAAGGCCAGCCTGAACTGCATAGTGAGACCCTGTCTCAAAAAAATAAAATAAAATAAAATAATACAAGGTCAACTAAATGATTCAGCAGGAGGCCAGGGTCCTCACTTTGTGACCATCCTCAGCTTGTGAAAGAGGAGGGCATGGAGATGGTGTGGGCATGGGGTGACAGCCCATATACAATATAAGGGAGGAAAAGAGGCTTTTTCTGCCCTTGTGCTCTTGCTGCTTTTGCTGACTTCTGTGGCCTTGAACAGTTGCCCCTGTGTTCTGCCATTCTGCCTTGGAGCCAGCTGATTATGGACTGAAACCTCCACACACTGTGAGCTAAATAAACCTTTCCTTCCTTAATTTTGGGCATCAGACATTTTGTCTCTGCAATGAGAAAAGTACCCAAGACAATTATGGTCCAAAATTACTCATTGGTGCCTGCTTAAAGAGCGGATTTGCGGACCTCCTATCAGAGATTCTGACCTGATAGACCACCATGGGGACCAAGATTATGATTCAGTTAAATAGAATGACGCTTCACAAATATGGAGCAATTTTCAGCTCTATTCTTCCTCATCTTACCCTGTATATTCCTTGGGAAATTCATCTTCCTAACCTCACCCCATCTCCAAAAATAAAACTATTATTACTCAAAAGCTAACATTTGCCTGAAGTCTTGTCTTCCAAGTGCGATTTCCCTTATGTCTTCAGCTTTCCTCCCACCTGCCCAGTGTGAATCTTCCTTGGCTGTCTCCAATACAGCATATCCAAAATTTAAATCCCAATATCCATTCTCCCCAACTCAGTCCCCGTTTTGTCCTCTCAGTTACCAAAACTCAAACCCTAAATCATCTTCTCCTAACATCTATATTTAATCAGTTACAATATATGCTACTAATTATTCTTGCTTAATTGCCATCCTTTCTAAGCCTTCTAAATTCCTTTGAGCAATGTTTCTCAATCTTGGCTCCACCAAAATACCAGGCAGATAACTGCTGTAGGTGTTGTCCTGTGCGATGTAGGATGTGTAGCAATTTCCCCATCCTTATCCTGTGCTGGAGACCACTACAAAGTGGCTCTGAGCAGGATTTAAAATTAACCAATTGGCATTCCGTGTTCACTTGTGAATCTGTCCAAGGCCGAGGCACCTCATCTGGAAATGGAGGACTCATCGTAAGTGAACCTCTGTGAGTCACTAATCCCTACTAGAACCTGTAGTGGTGCAGGAAGCCAGAAAGCCTCAAAGGACAAGATCACAGCCAAGGACACCTGGGTCAGATCTCAATTAGATAAAGGTTATAGCTGCAGGTACCTTATTCTTCAGTGGATTAACTTCATGCCCGACTTAGAGAAGTCCTTGAGTGATTCTGCCCTTCTTGAGTATTCCCCTCCCTTCTTCTGATAACCAAATAAATACAGTGACCCAGAGAAGGTCGTGGTCTTAGCCCTGAGAGAATGTTGAATTATGTGAGAGGGCTTTGATCTTCCTGGAGCCCTGAAATCATTCCATTTGCCTCTTTTTATTTAGCCTTCGCCGTACACTCATTCAGGAGATTGCGGACCTGATCAGCCTACAATAATTAAGGGATATTATTAATCCTGTAATCCTCCTAGATACAAGTAGCAGCCCCGAGCTGGTACAATCGAAAATGTCTCCAGACATCAAACATCCAAGGGTGAGCAATGGAGGGAAAGGAATCACTTCTCATCCACAGAACCACTATCTTATTTGACTGAGGCCCTCACTGTCAACCATCTGTATGAGGCCAAGAGGTTCCACACCTTGACAGAGCTGTACCTCTCCTTATTCTTCACATTCTTATAGTTTTACAGTTTTCATCAGAAAAAACTCAAGTCTTCTCATATGGCATTAAAATAGCAAAATTTGTCTTCTACTTGCCTCTCCAGGTTTCTATACCAGCCATACCAAATTCCTTTGCAATTTAATTAGACATGGATGAAATTCATAAGATGTGTTAACTGTAGACAGTAAGCAAGCTAGTAGCTTATGAGACAAATGCACAGCTCCTTGGAGTTTTTAAATATAGAACATGAGTAAGCATACACTTTGCTAAACACAGGCAGAATTGTGTTAAATATACATAGTAAGTTAGTAAACTATAAGACATGCCAAGTTAAAATAAATAGAAAATATGACAGAAGAAAGGGGCACTTGAAGCCAAAAGAGATGGAAAAAGTTGTTATGAACAGTCATGAACTGACAACTGTCAACCCTAAATCAGCCACATATCCACACACCGATGACACCTAGAATAGTTTCAAATTTTTCTACCCAAGAAATGCAAATAAAACCTGTGCCTGATTGGCACTCTAACTCATCCGTTCTTGCTGGGAGCAGACGTACTTCTGTGCTTCTGTCCAGTAGAATAAGCATGTATCCTGGCCCTAAAGCATCTTCCATCTGTAGGTCTCTCTCTGAAAACCTCAACTCCAGTTCTCAAGAGCATCTCAACACTGCAGAAGGGCAATGTGACAGACAGGACACATGAGCAGATGACGTAGGTTGCCTTCCATTGCTTGTACACTCTTTTAAGCGTGTCAAATTACTACTATTGTTTCTTCTTGCTTTTCTCTGGCTACTTAAGTTGATTCAATAAGCCCTATTACTAAAGAATCTTCATTTGATCTGTGAGTCTTCTGTTTTCTTACCTGTGGGATACCTTGCTTCGAAGTCTACTTCAAGGCCATCATTAGATCAAAGTTGTTCAAATCAACCCCTAACCCCTTCCCTCCATGGAGACCACTACTAAGCAGCCCTCAGCAGTACTTAAATTAACCAATTGGCTCTTCATGTTTACTTGTGAGTCTGTCCAAGGCCTAGGACCCTTGCCTGGAGATGGGCAGTGGATTCATAGTAAGTGAATCTCTGAGAGTCACTGATCCCGACTGAGGCCTGTCATGGCTGCCTCAAAGGATAAGACAAGGCCACAGCTAAAAACACTTGGCTCCGACCTTAGTTAACTAGGTAAAGACGTAGCTGCAGGCATCTCACTCCTGGGTGGATACCTTCCTGGAGATAACACAGTTACCCTAAGTTAACATAATGTCTTACTTGTTGAAGTTCTTGAGCAGATTTAAAAGGTCCTTGAAAGATTCCCGCCTTTCTTCAGTATTACTCTCCTTTGTTCTGATAACTGAATAAATAGCCTTGACGTCCACTCCTTTGGGAGATTGCCCTGATCAGTTCCCAATAACTAAGGGATAATGTTAACGCACTCCCCTCCCCCGCACCCCCAACCTCAGGCCCTGGCCCAATAGTGCCTCTCATTACATCCGGCCCTGTTTCTCCCACGGAATTATCAGGACGAGCTGTGAGTTTACCCCTCTGTTGGAAGCAGGAGTAGCTTTTACCCCTTCTGTCTCAGCATTCCGGAATACAACGTAACCAACCACAACACGACCAGCAAAGGAACTCTCCCAGGCCCACTCCCCACGGCGTCGGCCCTTCTCCCGCTTGACTAAGCCTGGTGTCGAACGGGGGTGTCGGACCGCGCCGCCGGGGGCGGAAGGCAGGCTACCCGGCGGGCCACAGGGCGAGCGGGAGCAGTGCTCACAGCTCCCGGCCAGCGTGGGCCTGGTGGACTCCTCTCCGCGGCC